GCAGCCAGTGCAGAGACACATATTGGGGACAGTTTAATCACCCCTGAATGAGGTTTATTACTTCACATGACCTGGACATTATACTTCTGGTAATGTTAATTCTGTTTATATGTGACAGTGTTTGTGTTTACTTACACCATTGCATGTAATGAGACCTGCTGTACACATTACAGAAAAGCCACATTCATATTTTAGTTTCCATGTTATCATTGCAGGAAACATAACATGTATAGCAAAAAGTCTGAAGATACACAAAATATCAAGCACCTTCAGACAGAGCTTTCCCCTTGTCATTTTAGGACAATTCACCATAGAGATGCAGCAGGCAAATGGGAATCCCCATAAGGAGCTGTTCTCTCATGTCTATCTAAATCACTGCTCATTTGTTCCATTACGACCATGTTCCCTGTTTCTGCTCCAGGGAATACAAAAATCCTTTGCAAATAGATTAGTCACTAGGGAACTTCCAGCACCCTGAATGAAGGATAATAAAGTAATTAAGGTAATGATCTCAGTGGGAGTGGGGTTATTTCTCATTTATGCAATTTACTATATTCATCAAAAGTCATCTTAAGCAGCTTCTCCTAGGATTCTAACATTAACCTTCCTGGAAGTCAGGAGAGATGGGACAAATTTAGAAGCATGCTGAACATTCAAAGCAAATCCCTCTTCTGCAATCAGAAAAAAAGAGACAGGGAGGACAAGGGTAATGAGGGTCAGGCAAACCAAGAGTAATAACCCTCACACCACTGGTGTAGTTTCCTCCTGGAAGAGGGGAAACTACCTTTTCAATTCAGAAATGCAAACTGCCTTTGCTTTAGAACAAATTTGCAGGATCACCAAAGTACTCAGTTGGCAGCACTGAAGGTTTAGTAGCAAACCATTCTGACACCTTTTCCTGCTTTTTAACAAGATGACCTAGTTGCACAAGAAGATACTGGATGAATTTCCCTGTGGGACTTGCCATTGCAGCAGTGGCTACCATTTTAAATAGTTGAGCTGCAGTGGGGAGTTTATTGTTAACTTCTTGCTACTTGTGAACCGAGTGGAGTTGGGACTCCAAGATGCTATGATGCAGCCCTGTTGGAGCTCAAGCATTCAAAATGGTGGCCATTGCAGCTACAAAAAGAAGCCCCACAGGAAAGTTCCGCCATGGTGGCTACTTTTTTGCACCAACTAAGCATGAGCTTCACAAGCAAAGGTCTAAGCCAGGGATGAAGAACATGTAGCCTTGCAGGTCTTACTGGACCAGACCTGTGCCAGCTGTAGCTGATAGGAGTTGCAGTCCAACTACAACTGAAGGGCCTCATGTTTCACACAACTGGTCTAATTGAGTGTAGATTTTGGAGGTGGCTTTGACAGTTGGCACAACTTTGTATCATCTGACTGTGTGCTTTTGCTTATCTCACCACAAAGCGATGCTGTCAGCCAGTAAAAGGACAGTTTGTACATTTCTCAGGACTTACAAAAGGCCTACTTTGAACACTGAGGAATGGTGCAGAAAAAACTGCTGTAGGTTTGTTACTCTCTGCACCTCAAACAAAAGCATCTTCAAAGTATGTGTCCACTACAGAGGAGCTCAATGAGTACAACAATCACTGATGAACAAGAGAATCAACTGACTAACCCTTTACAAAGCTGCACATTCTTTTCAGCTAGGCAAAAGGAAACACACTTCTATCAGGACAGACCACATGTTCACTTCCTTCTCTCTCTTTCTCATTCATTGGAACACAGCTATCAAAGAGGTTATTCAGAAGTAAACAGGATGTAAGGAGCTCCTTAAAGACTAAGTGCACAATCCTGTCTGTGCTGGCTGGAGAATGTGGGGAATTGTCCGACTTTGTGCCTAAACATACATAGGATTGCACCTTTACACATTTATTCTGGTATAAGCATTTGTGAATACTTCCTCAGTAAGGTGAAGAAAGGATGTGTCAGGAGAAAATGAGCAGAAGGTTTACCAGAATATGGCTGCTAAAAACCCGACACTGTAAGAACAGCTTTAGAGGAGATGAGATTCCTGATCTGAGCAGGAATCCGGGTTACAAGTCTTGCTTCCCACATACTCCTTAGAAATATTAATTGGTCTGTCCTTTGGAGGAACACTTAGATATGCTAATTATTTACCTATCCTGAAGGTTCTTTTTGTACCCTATTGTTTTACCCTACTGTACCTCTGGCATACTGACCCCACCTCCCCCAAACTGTGCATGTAACTGATAGGCCATAAAAGCATTTTGTACAGACTCTATTTTGGTAGTCCCTTTGGAGGCTGCCTACATGCTGCATTCATTTGGGGTTTCTTTTTTCACTCACCTACTGTTTGCACATCACATTAAGCCACCCTGGGCTAGTTTCCCTGTAGCAGCTGTCGTGTTGTGGAGTGTACCCACAGACATTCTAGCTTGCCATGTTGTACGAACCCAGCGTTGTGGGTTGAGGGGGAGTCAACTTTCTAACACTGCATAGCTTGTTTTAGGACTGAGAGCTGCCTACTCCTTCAAGCATCCCATAATGTACTTTTTGTATTACACAGAAGCAGAGGCACACATCACAGCAACCTCTGCAGCTATATTAAGCCTTGGTGGGCTGTCATTTCATGCAAAGCCGGTATCTAACAGAACAAATTTCTCATCAGCCAAGAAAAGTTGCTAAGCAGTCACCATTTAACTCAGAGATGACACACAATTCAAATTAACTAGTAATGAAGTCATGTCAGCCACATGGATAACTCATGGTTTAACCATGGAGGTATCATTATACATGCTACCAAGTGAATTCAAACTATTTCTTTTAAGGCTACTAATGTTAATTCATTTTGCATCCACAACTTTTGAGGATAGAGTCTCAGATGGAATAATTGTGCTGAATGGTGTCACAGAAAGACAATGTTTTCCTACCATAACAGCTTTCTGTGCAAGCTTTTGTTTCTAGCCGTTTCTTCAATACACCCCAGCTTTACCTGCATCTGCCCAACAAGGAAACTAGGCCCCATGGTCTTTCAATCAACCTTAAGTACTCCTGTATACTTTGGAGGGGACTGATTATACTACTCAAAGGAGGTGTAAATTAGAAATACTTTCTGGAATTAAGAAGCATTAGCATTAGAATTGCAAAAAGGCAGGGCTCGACAGAGATATCATTTGTATTTCTTTATCCTAGGCACAGAAGTCAACAAAAAAGACATTTTTAAGCTTAAAAAAACAAAAAGAGGTAGAATTGGAAACTATTCCCCATCTAGGGTACCAGGGTAGGCTGTAAATCACCTCAACTCTTGCAATCTTCTAATTAGGTGGCTTGGGACCAGAGATGTGGGGAACAACCCCTATGGCGTCTTCCTCCTTTGTCCATGATTCTGTGACCCTGCTTTTATTTCCCTTGATGGTTCAGGATTGCGGGGCCATCTTGAACCTAGTAAGTAGCTTGGAAAAAAAGACCCCCTCTGCATGTATGTTATGTCTTGAGCCAAGTTTTGGACAACCATCCATCACAAAAGAAAGTCACCCACCTAAGTAACCTGCTTCCTTTCTAAAATAAACAGCTTCTGCATTAAACTCTTGTACCTGTCGTTTATGAATGAGTTTGTTTAAAGGCCTTGCTCACATGCTTTGTTGAAAGAGGATCCACACTGAGATTACCAAAAGGAAGAACTATGTAGTCTGACCTGCACAAACAGGGTGATCCCACATCTTGAAGTCAAGCTTCCCATCACTTCTCTTTATTTTGGAACATACAAGAAAGCAAGGTGCATCTATGGAGAAAGAACCTTGCTAGCAAACCACAAACACCGTCCCGCAGCCGACCCTAACGGGCCACCCTCCATGAGTGTTTAGACTGCGATTGCCATCACCAACGGTCAGCACTGAGGTAGGGATGAGATGTGTTGAGCTGAAGGCCAGCCAGCTGTGGAAGACTGCTGTACAGGCTTGGTTGAGGACCCTTAATCCTATGCCAGAGGGTTCAGAGAAATTTTAAAAAACCGCTACCACCAAATCGGACACAATGCAGCTTAAACTAACACAGAATGAAGAGGAAAAGGTATTTGCTGACTATTGAATATATTGTCAATACTGAATAAGGGTCCAATCAGTTTTTGGCCTTATTTGCATGACTGCCACAGTGCATTGCAGTGCCCTTAGGTGCCAGGCTGGTGATCCAAGCTGCCATGACAGTGTCACATGACATGCCAACCTGGTGAGGGGGAGTTGTAGAGAGTGTTTGACAAGCCACCCAGATCCCATAGGCTGTTTTAAGGTTGTGAGTGGCTTGTCAACCACTCCAATAACCCGCTCTTGCAGGGTACGCACATAATGCAAAGCTATGCTGCACCTCTGCCATAGCTCAAGTATTAAAAATGGTAGCCAGCACTGCCACAAAGAGCAACCCCACAGGGAAATTCCTCTGTGGTGGTTTCTGGTTACCTGGAAATCTGCAGAGTGTTAATTATCAGTTCACATATAATAAATCTACTACACTTCAAGATGGGATGAAAATCATTAGCATAAATGGCTTAAAGGGAGGACCTGATCTACATAAAGAAGATGGGTTTATCCATAGCACACTCATAATTACCAGGTGATATTAACATAAAAGGATGTATTTCCTCAATCCATCTTGCCTGCGAGTCTCCTGGAAACATTTTGCTGGCCAGTGACCAAATGCAGAGCTAGCAGGACCGTTTGTCAACACAATATCACTGGTGTTTAATGCTTTTTATTAAAAAAAATCTGGCCAGTACATGAGCTCAGGCTAAGCCACTTCAAAGCACTTCACATTCTGCTTTTCACTTCTATCAGAAAAGCGAGCTTGTATTTTATCTTGCTAACAGTTACTGGCATGATAGTTTTTTTCTAGTCTAAGTTCTTAAATCAGAGGCCACCATCAAACTGTTAGGATTAAATGGTTCAGATTTTCTGACTAGCTGATTTGGGGATTTCAGAAATTTTATGAGATAGAGTAAGACTACAACAATTACAGATACAGAGAAATACAGGATATGCTTTCTGTTGCTAAGTGAATTTAATGTACAGTTGACAAGATACTTTTTCTTAAAAGTCATTAAATGTATGCCCATGCACACGATTCATAAGTTATGTTACAGAATAAATCACACAATGGCTCAGGTTTTGGACTTCTGGTCTTCTGGCAGCATGACTTTAACAGTACCTTCCATAACAGTCTTGCCACTTTCTACAACAGTACATGCTACTGAAATATAAGCAAGACACTTCCTTAATTTCTTCACTTCTGCTGAAGCCACAATCTCTTCTCCTACAAATAAAGGGGCTGGAAAATTAATTTCCTGAGAAAGGAAAATACAGCCATGGCCAGGCATTTTAGTTCCCAGAACGGCAGAGATAAGTCCATTGATCAATACACCATGTACAACTGTTCTCCCAAATCTTGTCCTCTTTGCATATTCTTCATCTAGATGTAATGGATTTGTGTCACCTGTTAAGTCAGAAAAGGTGAAAACATCCTTCTGTGTAAACGTTTTAGTTAGTTCAGCCTTGTCTCCAATCTGTATGAGTAAAGGCTGCACACCGGATTTAGTGAAAAATGAAACAACAGTTGGCTTTGTCGGAAACCTTCTCTGGAGTCTTGCACAAAGAACTCGGCACCTGGGCAACCCCATCAGCATCTTGGGACTGCTCTGGCTTTCACAAGCCCCAGTCAGTTGCCTTTTTAGCGCAGTTAATCTAGCACCAACTCTCTACTGTTCCCAGATAATGCAAGAAGAAATGGAGAGTTCTAGAGAAAAAGAAAAAAAATAAAATAAGAGCAGGAAAGTTATTAATAGCCCAATCACTTCTGCATAAAGCAATATTAACCAACAACAGATGAAGTTAGTTGCTAGAAATGGGTTGCATTGTTGATGGTCAGTAAAAGGATGAAAATCATTTTCAGCAAAAATGAAAAGGTGACCATCAGCCAAATAGCAGGCAGAGAGCAGAACACTTCAGGTGACTACACTCTATGCTAGTTTAACTAGGTTTATATATTGTTATAAAATTTCTAACCCATCTTTCCACCCAGGCATCTCAATTCAGTTAACCATATTAAAATGAAAGGCTGTAATATGATTAAAACACGTGTTAAAGAAATAAAAGCTTAAGAGAATTAGAATAATCCCGAGTGCAAAACTGTGACCTGGTTCATGTATATGACAATCCTGCATATGGGCTACCAATAGAGTGAGGGTTGCTGTGCTATGTATACTCAGGTACACTAACAAAACATAGTTTGTTAATTCTGAATAACCCACAAAGGGAATCCACGGTTTCCTGCTGGAGTATAAACTGTAGTTCACACTTTTCAGCAACCTTGAGCATAGGCTGACCAATCTGAACAGGTTATGGTACACAGACTCTTACAAGCTAGAAGTTCTACAGCAGTAACCAAATCTATGAAAGATGGGAACTAGATTTACCATGAACTTTGGTTGATCATTTGTAGTGTAGTTAAGACAACTGCAGTTAACCAGATAATGAGAAGAAGAAAGCTAATTAACTAGCATTAAATCCTAATCTGTACAACATATTAATCACCCCGTCCAAAATGCCACCTTTTAATTATGTGAGACCAGTAACAAAGGAAAAGCAAAGCAGGCATAGAATTTAAAATGAATTTGAATCATTTCACCAAGAAAACCACAATCGTATGAGTTTCAAAATCTCAACCTAGACCTGGAATTCCTTATTTGAACTATTAATTGTAAACCATTTTTAGTTTTTTCAGGAAATGGAGAAAAAGGTTTTAATAACATTTGCTATGTATTCGCCACAAACACTGCACAAACTCTGAAGGGGGTAGGTAGCACATACACATCCTTAGTCTGCAGTCCTATACTCATTAACTTTGAAGTAAAGTCCCACTGAGTTCAATAGGAATTTTGTGTAGATTAAATATTGCACGATTAAATAGTCTTCTAAGCTGTGCTAGGTGGATTGCATAGTGTCTTGACTCTTACCTGTATGACCCTAAAACAGCAACTCTTGTTCTGGTAGGAACCAAGCAGTGTAAGAGCACTCCACAACTTCACCAGGCCACTGTACAAATGACAGAATCAAGCACACTAATGAAGCTGACATACAGATTCTCAAATAACACAGGAAGCATTACATAATAGATACATTATAGGTGAATATTAGAAGATAAGAGTTACAGGACTGAGGTGTCGAAATTGTCCAAAATGTATTTCATGGTGGTTGCCCAAACAAATTCAACAAGTCTGCTTCTCGGAGGCTGCAGAGCAAACACTGCCCTGATGTGAGCAACTCTTTCCCATATCTTTTAGTCTGTTAGAGACCACCCTACTCTGGTTGACAGAAGTCTGCCTCTTACCTACTAACTTGGATTTGTTTATTGTTAGCACAGAAAAGTCCTGATGCTCATATCTGAGGCTGGCATCTCAGAATTTGAAATATTTTTCCAACCCTGACATTGCAGGACTGACAGACCAATAACCTTCAATCATAAAGACATATTTATATTACCATCACGTGACACTCTTACATTTTACCCAAGTTTGTGACACCCAAGTATAAAGGGAGTTCCGGTTATTTTAATTACCAGAGCACTCTGTTTGTATCCAATAGCGCTTGGAAAGAAAGCACATTTAAAGTTTCTTACGTTTTAGGTACCCTTAGAATCGCAAACAAGGTTTTTTCTTCATATGTCAATACATCAACAGGCAGAGCTGCACCAACCTAAAAGGAAATGTGCCATGGTTATTAATAAGTGGTTTACACAAACAAAGTAAATTCTCCTAGCAAGTTAAATTGTATTCACTTGCATAAAACTCACAGTCCAGTATGAGAAGAGATACTGCAAGTTTTTTATTTAGCTTAAGGAACTGTGTTTTTTTAAACAAGCACAATACAAAGTTGGGAAGAACATCTAGGATTAGCTCAGCTAAGACATAGAGCAGTGGCAGCTCCATAATCTTTCCCTCCTTGATTTTAAGGAGCTGTACAAGCAATCTTTCCTCTCTGCAAGGGATCCAGTTAAATAAGGAGCTCTTTCAATTATCCTACTTTCCTGAGCATAGAAAAAAAAACACAGAAACTAAAAGGAATGCAAGGGTCCATAATTTCAAGAACAGCAAATGACCATAATTAAGAACAACATACCTCACCATGCAGCCGTTTCAAAGCAGAGATGATAAGTTGTTTGAACTCAACAGCACTTAAGTTGATAGCAGCTTCTTGAAACTCCCTAAAATTTATTTAAGTAGTTAGCCTTATGAGTAAATCCCATCTATCATATAAACGATATGCTGCATAGAACCAATAAACTGAACTTACAAATGGATCTTCAGATAGTGGTATTCAGAAGCATTCTTGAAAACTATTCTTTCATAGGAAGGAGGCTCAAAGCCCTTATTTTCATCACCAAATCCAGTCATTTCAGTAAGCTGACATCTAAAAAAGAAATCAGCCTGCCTTGACATATCACGAAGTGCTATACTCAAAACACAAATTCTAAATGTGACCAAATGTCACTTGAGCTTTCAAAAACACATGCAAGAGAGTGTAACTCTCTAATATCATATTTTTGGTCCTTCAAGTTACTGGCAAAGTAATACTTCTCAAAGCATAAACTGGATTTCTCTTGGAAACACGAGCTTCTGAGGACTACTCTTCAGACTTGTAAACAGTAATACAACAAGTTGCCTGTGCCGAACCCAATGCCCGAGCTATTGCGCATACCAGGCCAATGGTCAGGAGCTGTAACGCAAAAACAGCCAGAGGGCACGGAGTCGAGAAAGGCTGTTGTTTAGTATTAAACAGTATTACATTAAAGTATAAACAATCCAGGATATAGACCAACATTCCGAATAAATAGAGGGTCATGTGCTCCAGCTTTACTTTAAGCAAATATGAAAAATAGTTTTTTTTTTCTATTTCTACGGAATTTCTTTCGTAAGAAGCCTCGATCAACAGCACAATTTCAGGGACAAGGTTAGGATTACAATTAGATAGATTTAAGGCTAGGTTGCAAAATATGTACCACGCTAAACAATCTACGAACTGGTTCGAACTGGTTAACGGTAAGGAAAGGCGACCAAGCCATTCTGACCGGAAGATTAAGGCTGCAATTCTATACTCAATTACTGGGAGTAGCGCCCACTGGACCCAACAGGACTTACTTCGAAATAGACACGTGCAGGTCTGTATTATTACAACCTTCCCCTCAAAACAACGTGTCTGAGGAAAAATGACGGCGCACGAGCCACGAACCGCAACAAACCTCCCTCCACGTGATCGCCCCTTTCGCCGCAAAACCGAAGGAAACAAACTGGACGAACAGAACTTCCCCCAAGTACACTAACCAATCAAAGAGCTTTTCTTTCTCCCGCCCCTTCTTTTTCTCCAATGGCAACGCGCAAACTATCCCTCGCGGGCACCGGCCCAATGGGTTACCCGAGATGGAACTTACAGTCATAACGATAGGTCAGACGAAGAAAAGACCCGGAAGCTGACCTGCTCGGAATTTGCGGGTGACGTTTTTTCAGTGCTGGTCTCTCATAGGTCGACGAGCCGTTGCCTTGGAGGCTGTGTGTTCTTTTCTCCTCCCACTTAGGCCTGCGCGATGTCACTTCGAACGGGATGCTTGTGCCGTCGCAAATGGATGGCTCGGGAGACCCCAGCTGCTGCTCCCCCGGGATGGCTGCGGGCTGGGGAGGCGGGTCGGCGCTGCGAGCGCTGCTCTGAGCGAGGTGCTTCCTTGCCGTCCAGACGAGGCTATGTAATGAGTCGAGCCGCCTGATCGCGGCCGTGCGCGTTCGCTCAGGAGCGGATGCCCGCGGCGCAAGAGGGCTTTCGCAGTCTCCACGGACATAGGCATCCAACCGGGACCCTTGCCATCGGCTCAGACCGGGAAATGTCCGTCCAAGGCCTTACCCCTGGGTACGGCTGCATGGGACTTCAGCCTTGCTCAGCTCCCGGTCCCTCCTGCTCCCCTGGTGATGTTGCTTGTATTGTTGTTTTGCAAGGTTGGGACAAGACGTGCTGCTTCTTCCGTTAGTAAAACCTCTCTGAACCTATTCTGCCTTGCCTACTGTTGTAACCCCCCTCATAATCAAACACGCAGCCAGGGCATGGCTCATCACGAGTAAAAAACATGGTCAGAGTGTCCTGTTCGCATGAGAACAAGGACACGAACACGGATGTGCACGCTACGCTAGGCTGACAACAAAGCAGGCTACGCTCCAGCATTACCAGTATCACCGCAGACGTTACGCCCTTGTACCCACGCTTGCTTGCTTTAGTATGATAAATGTGCAAATGTGTTTTCCCCTATTGTCCCCCTATAGTCCCCCTATTGTTCGCTGTCATTCAAGCATAAGTGTAAAAGAGTATAAAATCAATGTCTTCCCCCTTCTCGGCACCACACTCCTATGAGTGCTTGGTCCCTGCAGGTAAATAAACCTCTCTCGATAATTCCAACCAGTCTCTGGTCTCGTCCTCAAAATCGCGGCATACAACACCTACTGCAACATCATCTGTTATGTAGCTACTTACCGTCTTCAAGAGCCATAGTGCCCTCTCCAGGGGAATTGCGTCTTTTTAATTTTGCCAGAACGCTGCAGCTAAAGTCATTCACCTCTCATGTCTGACACTCTAGAAGAGACAGCACCGCACCAAAGGCCTGTGCTGTTCATCCAGCCCAGCATTTTTAAATAAATTTCCATTTCGCAAAAAGCACTGTCCTTTCAATGGCTTTTTGGACTAGCTGTATGCTGTTTGGATTTATTTTATACATACATATGTTTATACAGTCCAAGAGCCAAAGCTCTTTCGGTGGTTAACAAAGTTAAAAACACACAAACAACAAAAATTGACAAAACTATGTCAATTGCAACTGAATCAGCACAAAGATATAGCAATGGTACAGTCTAAAATGCATTATTAAAACTAAGGTTAAAATGTAACTGTTAAAATACTGGGAAAATAAAAAGGGTTTTGTCTGGTGCTGAAAAGCATACAGAATAGACACCGGGCACACATCTTTGGAGATTCATATCTGGGGGTGCCACAATCAAAAGGGCCCTTCTTGGTAGCTACCTACCTCACTTCCTCTGGAGGGAACTCCCAGAGAAGGACCTCCAAAGATGACTTCAGGGTCCAGGTAGGTAAATATGAAACAAGGCATTCCTTCAGATGACCTAACCCCAAGCTGTTTAGGGCTTTGAACATTAATACTAACACTAATCAGGCTCAGACTTCAACTGGCAGCCAGTGCAGCTGGGAGAGGACTTGTGTAATAAGTTTTCCTTATATGTAATACGAGTTTTCTTTAAACTGTGAGCCCCTTGAGGAACTGAACTCTAAACATTAAAAAATGTTTATAAGCCACTCTGAACTCATGAATACAGCGCGATATAAATCAAATATTCATTTGCTGCTGAAAGGACATTGCCCATTGGCTACCTGACTGGGACCATTTGGGGACTAAACTGCTTTGCTCCAGGGTCTGGACTATCCATCCCCTGCCCAGTTCCTTCTCTCCTTGTGGGCACAATCCTATGCATATGTAGACAGCCAACATGACTGACTAGGACATGCCCTATTTCCATGCTTCGCAGTGGTTTCATTCCTACTTGACTTGCCGATTCCAGAAGGTGCTGCTGGGGGATTACTGCTCTGCATCATGGCAGTTCTACCATGGGGTACTACAGGGATTTGTTTTATCCCCCATGCTATTTAACATCTACATGAAAATGCTGAGAGAGATTATCTGGAGGTATAGGCTGAAAAGTCATCAATATGCTGATGACAGTCAGTTGCCCCTCTCTTTTTCATCTAGCCCCAGTGAGGAAGTGGCTTGGATGAGACTCAGTCCAGACAAGACAGCAGAGCTGTTGGTGGGTTGCTCATCAATCCAGTTGGTTAATATTCAGCCTGTTCTGGATGGGGTTGCACTTCCTCTAAAGGATGGGGTTCATACTTTGGGAGTGCTCCTGGATCCAGAATTGTCATTGGAGTCACGGGTGGATGCAGTGGCATGGAGTACCTTTTATCAGCTCAGGCCAATTCACTATGACCCTATCTGGAGAGGCAGATCCATGCTCTGGTAGCCTCCTAGCAACAGTGATCCATGTTCTGGTAAACTCGTTTGTATTACTGTAATGCACTGTACATGGGGCGGCCTTTAAAAATGGTTTGGCGACTTCAGTTGATTCAAAATAGGACAGCAAGCTACTAATGGACTGACTGACAAGAACATATTGCACAAATCCTCTCTCAACTGCACTGGTTACCAACTGAAGTCTGGGCCTAATTCAAAGTGCTAACACTACCATTTAAAGCCCTAAATAGCTTGGGACCACATTTTATGAAGAACTGCTGCTTCCTGTATGTGCTATCATGTGAGGTGCTTATCAGAGAGCCCCCTCTAAAGGAAGTAAAGAGGGTAGCTACAAGGGGAAAGGCCTTTTTGGATGTGGCATCCCAATTATGGAATCAGCTTCCCAAAGTGCACCTGGAGCCTACTCTATTTCCCTTCCCCCATGTAAAAATCTTTTTATTTACCCAGTATTTTAACAGTTAAATTTTTTATTCTTAATCTTTTGCATTGTATTTTATCTGATTTAGCTGTTATCCGCTGGACTGGTGTGATTGCTGTTGCTATGGGTTTGTTTTTGTTATTTTATTTAATGTAGTATTGCTGTTTGATTTTATTTATTATAATTAATTGTTGTCTATTATTTTGTATATTTTACAGTTGTGATCAACCCAGAAAGCCTCCCTGGCTGGTGAATGATATATAACTTTTAAAAATAAATTATGAGCTCTGCAAAATTTTATTTGTCTAAGAACGTAACAGTTTGCACCCTTTTAACATTTCTGCTCTATAGTTTTCCTCACCGTTTCAGTACTTGTGTGGGGCCTGCCTGTCCAAATCTCATCCCCATAATTTGCTTCTTTCTGACCTTTCTACCCCAATTGAAACAGCAGCTCCGTTCCCTAGTTTTCCATGACAAACCTGTCTTCCTATGCCCGTGATGCTGTCTTGCCATTCAGAGGCCTCTCCTTCCACACACACACCCAGTTCTCAGAATAGAAGTGGCTTAAATTGGCAGTTTGTAATGGAATTGGTCTGTCAATAGATATTGCCACATCTCGCTAATTACAGTCTCTGGTTGTTTCTTCCTCTCACTTATTTCTCAGGCTTCAAGGCTCATCTGTATTTCTCTTAATTTCCTTTCCATCTCCACATTGTTTATGAAATTCTATAAACCACCATAGATACAAGGGATGGGAAGACTTAAGTTCTTTCAAGGTCAACTGATTTTCTTTTAACTAGAAGCCCTAGGTCCACTAATCAGAGCCAGTTGCAAAATAGTGGGAGGGGTGGTTAGGAGGGCCATATACTGTATTTTCACATTCAAAATTCCCCATGTTAGTATAGATCAGAGATTCTAACACAAAGAGTCAAAGTAGCTAGGAGGAGAGCTGCACAAAGACCTTGTCAAAGCTATCCAATTAATACTCCTATTTTACATGCAAGGAAGACTGAGACTAAAGAGAGAAGGAATTAGCACAAGGCCAACAATGGCAGAAATTAGTTGCTTGTTACATTAAAAAACATGGGTGGGCAGAACGTAGACTGCTGCCTGTTTTCGACTGCACCTCCCAGCATCCCTGACCTTTGGCTATGCTTGCCTGGGCTTTTCAGAGCTGAAGTTCAGAACATATTATATTCTGACTACCTTTGCTCACTCTTCTGTTAAACAATGGAAAGCCAAAAACCTTTCCCAAATTACTGCAAATCACTTAGAGACTAAGCAGTAGATCAGTATCTATCTTCTGCCCACCCTGATCTAGAGAATGTGGACCTTGCTGTAGTTATGCATCCCTTGCTAGTTACAGGTAGACTAGGCTACAATAATATGCTTAATTCTTGGCTGCTTTTCAAAGTGAAATGGAAACTTCAGCTAGTATAGAATATGGCTGCTTGCTTTAGGGCAGTGGTGGCGAACCTCTGGCATGCATGCCACAGCAGGCACACAGAGCCCTCTCTGTCGGCATATGAGCCAGGTTGCCCTGGCATCGTCCCAGCAGCTGAGCATGAGATAACAATGCACATAGGGGTCATGCGCATGCTTGCAAAGGAGTAGCAGTGCCAGGCGATGATGTCATGAGCCGCGACTCATTAACCGCAAATCGTCCGAGCTTTTGCATAGCTGGTCAGTGCACTGCCAAGGAAATTTTATATATATATATATAGGCTTGGACTGGCTGTGAGCTTTAATACATTCGTTTTTATTAACACAAGATTT